GGCCAGTCTAGCTGAATCGGTAAGTTCCACAGTCAGTGAGAGACCCTGTCCCAAAAAACATAGAGCATGGAGTCCTAGGGAACATGTCAACACCTGAGGTGGACCTCTGGTGGACCTCTGGCCTCCACACACATGTGCACACAGGTACAAGTGCACCACATTCACATGAACATGTACACACATACTTCATATACACACAACACAAGGGAAAAAAATCCAAAACGTTTGTCATCTCACCCAGCTGGTAAGGCCATGATGGAAATTCGTATCTATGAGTCTCCCCTGGAGCACAGTGTGATTTTCAAAATGCCAGGCCAAACGCCCTTTGACTGGGTAATTGATTGCACACATATTCTGGCACAGTGCACAACAACATGTATGCAAGCTTAATCAAAAGGGTGAAAAATACCTGACATGGTGGTACACACCTGTAATTCTAGTTCTTAGGAGACGAACACAGAAGGATTATAAGCTCAAGGCTAGCCTAGGCTATCTTACCCTAAAATAATGATGATAATAATAATAAGATGAAGAATAAAATGCCTAATAACAAAACTTCCTTCAATAAAGACTGGCAAAATAAGCCAGGCATGATGGCACACGCCTTTAATCCCAGCACTCAGGAGGCAGAGACAGGCAGATCTCTGTGAGATCGAGGTCAGCCTAGTCTATATAGTGAGTTCCAGGCCAGCAGGGGCTACAGGGAGACCCTGTCTCAAACATCCAGCAGACAAAAAGTCTAGCAAAGTAATTTCTGGAATAACATAAAGTTGAATGCAGTTGAGTGAAAGGGAGAGTATGCTCTCTATGAGTGGAAGACTCATCAAGGTATATTAAGTTTACAACCAAGGAGCAAAAAGTGTTTATATAGTATCTTACCTTTTGTATATAAAAAGAGAGATTTGCAATTATGTATTCTGCCTGTATGTGCCAAACACTGTTGAAAGAAATAACGGTGATTAACTGCATCATAGTGAAGACACGTTTATTTATTAGTGACTTATTTTGTGTGTATTGAGTATGTTGTGCTGCGTGGGTATGGTGTATGCACATGTTCGTATGTGTGTGCACACGCACATGTGTATACAGAGGCAGGGATCAATGTCAGGTATATTCCTCGGTTGTTCTCCACCTTATTTTTTGAGACAGAGTCTCTCACTGAACCCGAAGTTCATCATTTGGCTAGGCTGGCTAGCCAGTGAGCTCCAAGGATCCACCTCTCTCCACTGGGGTTACAGACCCACCATTGAACCCAGCTTTTGTACATTGGTGCTAGAGATCTGAATTCAGGTCTTTGTGCTTATGAAACAAGCATTTTGCTGGCTGAACCATCTCTCCAATGACTCACTTTTAAACCACGTGAATGTATTTCCCATCCAAAACTCAATGGTAAAGATGTAAACAAGTACTAGATTAGAACTCTGTTAAGTACTAGGATGTTGACTGCTCCGAGCACACGGAATGGAGAATCAGCTTTCTCCCTGAAGGAGTTGAATTTGAACCTAGAACCAAGGATCAGGAGTGAGTAAAGGCAAAGGAGATGGGAAGAGGCTCCACAGGCCTAGGGGGTGGCAGGACTGTCAGACAGGCATGACTTGAGAAGCCCTGTGGCTGGAGGAGGAAGTAGTGCAGTAGCAGCAAGGTGCATGACCTATAGCTGTGGAGCCCATATGAAGGCTGACTCAGCCTCTCCTAGCCACACTCACCCTGTGAGATGGCCCTTCCTCCTCAGCCAGCCAACAGGCCAGGCACACAGATGATACCAATCCTCTCTCTGCCCACATGTGTGTATACACCCCACTGCAGACATCTTCCTGCCTCTAGATAAGCAGAAAAGTAAGACCCACATGCTAGCCACATGTCCTGCTGCAGAGTGCTGGCCCTATGGACCCAGTGTATGCCCTGAGACTCACTGCATCTCTACTTCTTGAAGCCTGAGTGTGGTAGAATCTCAGAAGATGAAGGAAAGAAAGGGGAAAGCAGCTTCTCTACCTCACATGGTCACCTAGCACAGGCACCTGCTTTCAGGGGGGCCCAGGGGAGGGCAGGCAGCTTTGCAGGAAGCAGAAAAGAAGTAGGGCTGATGGTGTGCTATGCTGAGGCAGTTCTGTCATCCCTCACTCCCATGATCCTTTCTGCTCCTGTTGCCTGTTCCTCCTCTGGCCTTGAGCTAACAAAAGTCAGAGGTCATACCCTGTACCTGCCCTCCTGAGCCTCCCCTCCACTGTTCTTACACTCTTCTTGGAGTTTTGCTACAAAATCCCATCAGTTTTCCAGTCAGAACTCAAACCTGATTTTAGGAGCATCTGGCCATGTGGTCTAAAGACTTCCTATTCCAGAATCCCACATGCTACAGAAGACTGGCTGCCAGGTCCAAGCCCGCCTCACTTGGCCCCTTCAGGTCCTCGTAGAGTTAAGGAAAACATCAGTTTTGGGTGTTAGAATGTCTGTTCAATATGTACAAGACTCTAAGCTAGGACCCTAAGCCTACCTGGTGGACCCCAGGTAATACCATACCAGCTGTGGTCTTCTCTGTGAGCAGTTCAACTCACCCCTGGGCCTGGCCCTTCCCTCAGATATTCTGAGGATCCCAGAGACAAGTCCCAAGTTCATTTGGCTGGAGAAAGTTCCTTCAGGCCTAGAAGCTTTTAAATTCCTGCCGGTAAGTTATGCAGAAGGAAGGCCATGTTTGGGGCAAGTTCACAATACAAGATGGCTCTCTCCCAAGTTCCTGCACTGAGAGGCCAAGAAGGGTGATTTCCTCACCCCTCCACACAAGCTTACCATTCCCTCTAGTACAGGTCAAGAGCAGAAAGCAAAGGTCCAAAAGGGCTCCTTGGCCCTGATAAGGCCAGGAAGTGAGCTCCACAGCCCTTGTCTACATGACCACAAGCGTCTCCCTCTTCAGTGATGCTCTGAATACCAGAAGAGAAGGCAGCTAGAGTCCTGGGTCCAGAAAGACAGTTCAGGGGCCACAACAGCCTGTAATTATGAAGCAGATGCTGTGGGTCCAAGCCCCTGCCCCCTTACTCCTAGCTCCTAAGACAATCTCATCTCCTTGGTTTGAACAACATAGGTGGTGTGGTAGCCAAAAAAAATGTCAAGTGCTACGTATTTGATGGGAGGAAGGAAGGCAGATGCTCTGCATCCCATCCCTCCAGGAGGAAAGCTGAGGTATAATGGTAAAATCCCTATTGCCAAAGAGAGGTAGGCAGGGCCAGTAGAGCCATGGGCGCTCACAGACTCACAAGCCTGCAAAGCAACCCCACTGGCCTTGACTTAAGGTCACATTCAGGGTTACAGAACAAAAAGAGTCACTGAAGATGAAAGGTGGGTTGGGAAAACCTGCTTTTAAAGGGGGCCCAGCTTTCTAACCCTAGGCTCCCTCCCCTCGTCCCTTCAGCAAGGGTCAGGAAGTGGAGAAGTCTTAGGAAGCACCTTTGCATCTGGGAACCATCATAACAAGCTGATATACCCCAAATCAGAGCCTTAATCCCAAAGTACTTTCAGCTGCCCAAAGAGGCAGCTCCTACCAAATTCTGGACTCACCCCACACAGCCCAGTGGGGGTCTGCATGTACCCAAAGTCCTGGAGACTGCCTGTGTGCCTACATTCCGCACTCATATTCCAGAGGCTTTCTCTAACCTTGCAAGCTCAGTGCCACACCAGAGGCAAGCAGACAAGATCTAGCAGGAGTTAAGTGTGGGCAAAGACCTGGCCAGGTTTTTGCCCAGAAAGACCCAAGAGACCCCTTCTTGCTGTAGGAGGTGGGGCTTGGCTGACCCTCACCACTGGGATTTGCATGCCCTGCATGGGAAACCCAGTATATAGAGACTTGTAAAACAGTGAAGAGTTTGTTAATTTGGTGAATTAAGCATTCTCCTAGATACTTATTTCTATATCATCAATGACCAAGAAGAGAATTGAACAGACTCAGACACTGAAACAAGGAACTGTTTCTGGCATTTTTTATGAGAAACTTTCCTTCTCAGAATCCTGACTTTCACACAGCTTCCCCGGAGACTGAACTGCACAAGAGGGCCACATGTATAGCCTGCCCGACCATCTCCACACGAGTGTTAGGTGCACAGCGCGATGTATGCACCCAGCAGCCTCTACCTCCCTGGGCTCCCCAACACCCGTGCCCTGCACTTCCAGAGTAGTCACGGGAGTCCACAGAGGCAGGGTCTGGGGCCCTGGAAGATGATACCAGCTGCTAGGCTTCTGTTTGCCCACATTTGAGCTAAAACTTTCCACATAAAATGCTCCTTTTAGTCAGCCTTCCAGATGGGGAAAGAATGAGCTCGAACATCCTGGATTGGGATGTCTTCACCAGCGGCCGCCACCACTCCCACTTCCACTCCCACCACCGCTGCCCTAACGTTAAGAACCAGGCAAGCCAAGCAGAAGCTGACCCAGGAGCCGGAGCAAGGCCTCCCCTTCCAGAGGGCAAGAGAATAGACATGCAAATAGGAACTTTGGAATTCATGTCTGTATGATGCTCCAGCAAGAAAAGGTTTTAGAAAACTGAATCTGAGGATTTGGCCCATCATCCGCATCATCATCATCATTATCACCACCACCACTGTCATCATCACTGTCATTACTACCCCACTGTCGTCGTCATCATCTCCATCATCATCACTACCACCACCAACCATTGTCATCACCACTGTCATCTCCATCTCCATCATCATCGCCACTGTCATCACCCCCATTGTCACCGTTGTCAATCATTTAGTCTCCTCTCTGGAAGGTGCTTCCTGCATACTCCCTCATCTAAGCCTCACTACCTTAAAAGGCACATATAGTCATCAAAAAGGCTGAAACTCTTGACAAGAGTCACCAGACAGGTGAAAAGAGGAGGATACCTACAGTTATGGGCAGGATCAAAGGCCAGCAGATGCCAAGGCTGAGGCTGAACTCAGAGAACTCATAAGCCCCACCCTCCCTGCTACCTTAGGACTCCCCTCCCAATGCTGAGCTGTCCCCATTCTTACATGGCCAAAGGGATCCAGATGGTTGTTTGTCAGCTTCAGCTTCTGGAAAGAGACCAACTGCCGCATCCAGTGGGCCCCAGTGGCAGGAGAATCCGGGTGGACATAAAGCCTTCCTGGCATGGCTGGCTCAGCCTTACCCGCCACCATCCTGCCAGTAAAGCAGACAGCAGAAGAAGTTGAGTATACTGGGCAAAACCCCGTTTCCCTAGTCCCTCTGATAGCAAACCCAATGACCAGAGGAAGAGAGAACTTATTTCCCAGTAGGGTACCAGGCCACGGGACAGGGCCTCCCATGTGAGCAGTGAGGAAAAGGCAGCCCTTCCCAACCTCTCAACTGCAGCTGGAAGAGGGAGGTGACAGGAAATGGAGCATTTACTTGAAGAACTGAGGCTAGTCATAAAGATATTGCAAGAAGATTTAGATAGTTCTTTCTGTGTGTTATATTTATACAAAGTTTATTTACTTACTGGCAGTGCCTTAACCACTGAGCTATACCCTCCAGCCCTTTATTTTTTTTATTGATTGATGATTGATTGGTTGGTTGGTTGGCTTTTTGAGACAGGGTCTCCCTGAAGTGCCAGCTGGTCTGGAGCTCACTGTGTAGACCAGGCAGCCTTTGACTGCACAGAGATCCTCCTGCCTCTGCCTCCTAAGTGTTGGAATTAAAGGCATTTACCAACACACCCTGCTATTTTTAATTTTTTCCAAAGATTTATTTTTATTTTATATGTATGAGTGGTCTGCTGCATGTATGTAAGTGTGCCAGTGTCGTTCAGTGTCCGCAGAGGTCAGAAGAGGGCATCGGATCTCCTAGAACTAGAGTTGCCATGTTCTAGGAACTGAACCTGGGACCTCCGCAAGAGCAGTCAGTGCTCTAAGTACTAAGCCATCTCTCCAGCTCCTATTTTCAGTTTTTAAATGCTATAAATGTGTCAGCTCAAAGGAGCTTCTCAAAGGACCCAAACAACTTGCAAATTACTTGTACTGAAAACAATGGTCAGAAATTAACTAGTAGTCACCCCTAGGCCAGAGCCTGTTCTAGATTCTAATCTAGCCAAGAGAGGAAAGAGAAAGGTGGCCCCTCCCAGGACCTGGCTTCCAATTCTGCCTCCTTGGCCCCATCTCTTTTGCTCCTATCACTTTTACCAGGGAGTCCAGGGCTCCGGACAGATGCTCTAGGGACCAAGGGGATGCTGAGGTGTTGGCTACCGAGAAGGAGCCTGGTACTTACCTGGCTCTTCAACCTGCCAATCACTCCCAGACCTTTACTAAAGGATCCTACCACCTGACCCCAGGCCTCAGTCCAACAGGGAAATACAGTGCAGTGAAGCAGAGGACACAGGTAGAGAAACAGGAGAACCCCAAACCAAATAATGTCTCCAAACTATTAAAAGTTCCTCAAGAAAAATGGTCTCCACTCTTCTCCCCAGGGAGGCATCGGCAGTGTCTGGATCCACCAGGTATTAGTTTTCCCACCACCTGACAGCACCCGACTGTTCATGGCTTTCGGGGGGGGAATATGGCCCCTATAGGTGGGACTGGGCCAAAAGCACCTGCAGTATTTGGGTCTGCCTCAGCTTCTGCCCAGGTGCAGGCAGTGAACCCTCAGAGTGGACCTGGGCAATAACAGACTGCCTGAAGGAAGGAGTAGTAAGAGCAGCTGAGGAAAGCCAGGTTCCAGGCCTCTTACCACTTGTTGTCACAGAATTTGTAGCGATGGTCATCTGCAGGGACGATGTCAATCAGCAAGATGTACTTGGTCTTGGGGTTCATGCCTGTGACTTTTACCTTGTAGCTGGGGAACATCCTCCTAAGGGAGTCAAGGGTTGGGGTAGAGCACCAGAAGAAATGGCAGAGTAAATGAAGGGGGCAGATGGTACCCTTTTAGCAAAAGATCCTGACCCAGGTCTCTCTCTGTTCTCGCTACACTGGACAGACCTGTCCAAACTGTACTCTCTGAACCCCCTCACCTGTCAATCTACATCTAGGAAAGACAGCTTACACCTTTTCCCAAACTTCCCTACCCCAGTAGCTGTGAACTATTGCAGCATGGAGACACTGGTTAGGACCATGAGTTAGGATTTCAACAGCAGTCTGGCTGCCTTAACTTCTCTCCTGTCCTTTGGCGGCCTACACTCAGCTAAAGTTATAGGGTACCATCACCCTAGAGCAGCTGACCCGAAGCCCCTGTCAGTTGTTTCCATAAGCAACAAGAAGCCTCCTCTTTCTGGTGGAGATTTTCTGGCCTTACAACAATTCACAGGGAAAGAGGGAGTGCTGTAGAAAATCCTAATAAGTCTGGGTTCTTTCTGGGTACCCTGCAGGGACATTTCTCACTGTGGGTGCCTCACCTGGGCCAAAACACCTTGACTAGGAATCTAGAGGATCAGTGGAGAAGCCACAGTGGTAAGAATACGGATTTTGAAAACAGCCTGCCACGGTCCACAGCCAGCTCTGCCTCTGACAAGCTAAGGCCTCAGGTCACTTGCCTTGATTTCCCCACCTCTCAAGTGAAGATAACAGTACTATTGCCACCAGCCCCTGCTCTGCCCCACTTTCCAAGAGTCAGTTCTGTGAAAATGAATTCACCCAAAACTTGAGTCTTCCAGATCCTGCAGCCCATGCTGTCTAGGGGACTGTGGCTCAAGGAACATTCTGGAGAAGTGCTTCCCCAGACTACTCAGCACACAGGCAAACCTGCAAGGGCACACACAGCTCCTTCACCGGTTGTACCACAGACTTAATCAGAGTAGGGTAGTCAGAACCTCCTCCCTCTTCCCCCTTAGATGCCTTCTGCCATTTCTGGTTCTCCACAAATGAGGGCTGGAGATATAGCTCGAGTACAGAGCACTTGCCTAACATGTACTAGGTTCAATCACCAGTACTACATCATAAAAGTTACATATTCTGTTTAAACCAGGCATGGTGTTACGGGCCTATAACTTCAGCATTCAGGAATGCAAGGCAGGACTGCAAGTTAGAGGCCAGCCTGGACCACATACCAAGAACTTTTCAAACAAAACAAAACAAACAAACAAACAAACAAACAAACAAACACACCACAAAAAAATTCCAGGATCCAAACTAACTGAAGCCATAGAGATTTGGGAGCCTGCCTTCCCCCAGCTGTAATACTGTCTAGCAAGCCCATGCCAGGAAACTTCTCACTAAGCCAAATTAGTCCAGAGACCCTCACATGAAGCTGTTCTGGACACCTCAAATGGATTGAAGACCCCTATTCTGTCATCATTTGTACTAGCTTACCTGAATAGGGCAGGACTTCCAGAAAGGATCAAGGTCTCCACAGGCTGGTAGACCCTACAGCAAGCCTCCCCAGGACCCTGAGGCAAAGGGTTTCTCAAAGGACTGATTCTCCTCTAGGTCCTGCCTAGCTCAGCCCATGCCCCCACTCCTGCTGCAGGAGGAGCTGGTGTGAACTACCCTGGGGAAGTGGCGCTATTGCAGGCCCAGGCGCATGTGCATGAATGCGTAAGGCAAGTGCGCATGTGTGTGTTCCTGTGTGCCTGGGGGGGCGGTGGGGGGGGTGTTCTAGCTGCAAGACTAGGGACTTATAAACCTTGTGGAAGAATTTGTCTCAGATGTCAATTGAAAGCATTTTCAAATATCCACACCCCCCTTCAAGGATGGGGGAAGTGAGAGGGCTCAGGAACCTAGTGTTGCTTCCTCCTTCCAGCCGGCCCCTTGCCTGGCCTAGAGGCACTGCTGGAGTGGGCACCACACTGTTTCCTGGCCCTGCCTTTCTCCTGGTGGGCCTAAAGCTATGGAGGGAGGGCAGCAGATGCCTGGTCTCAACCTCCCTGGGGGAAGGCCAAGAATCCTGTCCCCTCCATGCCACCATTTTACAACTACTACAGAAAAAGCCACAGAATGGGTATAGCCCTGGCTGTCAGTATCTTATGATCTGGCCCCTTCCAGATTTAACCCCCTTCCAGATGGAGGTTGACCATGGACTAGATTCCTGTGGATTGCCTCCTTTGGGAGGCCTTCAGGTACTGTTGTAGGGAAGTAGAGCACCTCTTGGCCTCTGCCTCCTCTTCTCATCAATCCCCCTCTTCCTAGGGCAGCAGCCCTCACAAACAGGGAGGGCAACCAGGATATCTGGTGTGGATCTCCAGAGGCAGGTTGAACTGGCTGGGGCTCATTCGTTGCCTTTTTTTTTTTTTTTTTTTTTTTTTGGTCTTTTTGAGACAGGGTCTCCCTGTAGCCCCAGCTGTCCTGGAACTCACTAGGTAGATCAGGCTGGCCTTGAACTCACAGAGATCCGCCTGCCTCTGCCTCCCAAGTGCTGGGATTAAAGGCCTGCACCACCACACCCGGCTCATTCATTGCCCAGTCTCAGCAGGGCATGACATACCTCTAAGGCCTTGGGCAGTGCAGAACACCAGGCAGAAGCCCTAAGCACTATCCCCCTACTTCAACACCCAGGTGCTTGCCTAGGGTGGAAGAAAGGCTCCATGGGACAATGAGGCACTACCCCCCCCCCACCCCCAATCAACCCAGGGAGGGACATCGGCCCTTGATTCAAGACAGGGCTAATGCTGGAACCTCCGAATTCTTTCTGATTTATGCCATTAAAAGTATCTGAAAACCAACACCTACGGGGAGGGAGGGGGCGATGGAGGGAGGGGTTGGGGAGGGCGGAGCCGGAGGGGAGGCGCTGTCAGCCTTCCCGCGTACCATCGCCTTCTCTCCGCGCCACCCCGGTCCCGCCCGGTCCAGAGCTCCTCGAAGCCCAGACGGATTCGGCGCAGCGGCGGGCGGCGGCCAGCACTCGCGGAAGCGTCTCCGCCGGGGGAATAAACACGCCGGCCTCCTGGCGGCCAGCCGGGGAGGAGATGAAAGCCCCTGCCTCACTCTGATCAGGAGCCGGGCTCAGAAAGGGTGCGGGGCTGGAGAATTTATCTGCTGCCTACTCGGAAATGGCTTTAGAATGAGCTGCTAAGATAAGCTTCCTTGGTGCTAGAGGCTGGCAGGGCCCAGAGAGGCCGGGGGTGTCCGATTTGGGCAACAAATCTGTAAAAGCCAACTCCCTGCTGGCAGGGAAGAGGGTGTAGCTAGGCTCAAGGGTCCAGTGGTTATCAAATTCAAGGCGCTGGCCTTAGTACCCCCCCCCCATCCTGGGGACTGGGTGGAGAACAGAAGATCCTGGGACAACCCCCCCAGACGCTTCCTACCTAACCCACCCTAAACCCACCTCACTGCAGACCCGACTTCCCTGAGGGTGGTGCGACGGCACATGCCTTTCCCTACAGCAGTGCTAAACCCTACAGAGAGGGTGAGAAGTTCGAAAAGTGGTTTCCAGGGTGGGAGCGGTGATGACTGGGAGGGCACAGGAGAAATGCTACGGGGCTGAAGTCACACCGGGCTTCATGTTTTTGAAAGTCTATAAGGCCATAAACTTCAAATGCCTGCACTCTCCTGCAGAAATATTCCACTTCAGTGAAATCTACATTAAAATGACTATGGGTGTGCACACACATACACATGCCTATTTTGAAACCTGAAGGAGAAACAAAATGAGCTGTTGGGGGAAGCAGGGTTCTCTGAAAACCCCACCCACCACTCTATGCTTAAAATTTAGGGGTCTCTTTGGGAAGAGGGGGAGCAGCAACCAAAGGGGGGGTGCATACACTGAGGCCAGACCTTTTGGACCCAAATGATTTCAGCCAAACTACTCAGTTGATTTCCACTTACAAACAGAGGAGAAAGAGAGAGAGAGAAAGAGAGAGAGAGAGAGAGAGAGAGAGAGACTTTCTAAAGCACCCCAAGCATTTTTAAGAAATATTTTCCCTGAGGGGAGGGGGGAAGGGAGGGTGTGTGGAATGGAGGCTGTTTGGGAAGGTCAGTTGCTTCTCTGATTTTTTTTTTTTAAGGCACTTCCTTCTGATAGACTTTTGCTTTCAGAAAATGCTTGAAGAAGAGATCAAAGCACTCTCTCTCCGACCCACTTTCCCAGTGTCTTCAACCCTTACTTCTCTTATCATCCACGCCACTGGGCTCTGACGCTCTGTATACAGAGCAAGGGCAATTGGCTTTGAAGCCCTGGATTAAGCCCAGCCAAATCCTTGCCTCAGAATAACAAACAATACAGGTTCAACAGGAGTTCTCATCAGTAGTTCATTTTTCAAACGCAAATTCACTGTCACTAACACAAGCAACATTGAACTCAACAGGCTGTGAAGGCTGATAGTGGAGATTTATCTGGTGGCAAAACCACGACCTAGGAGTAGGGCAGTCAGACCGTTAGGAAATGTTCATTTTTGGAAGGTTTATATTTAAATTTCTGTGGAGCTCACTTTTATGTGTGTTTGGGAGGGAAAAAATGCAGTTTCTCACATGTATCAAGCTCGGAAGGAATATGAGGCCAGGAGAGGTCTGCCCTCTGCAGTTACCAACATGAGCTCTCTGGGCACCAAGCTCTGAGAATAGAGACTGGTTAGGGCAGGTTTGGCTCCCTGGTGACAGCTGACATCAGGGGTTCCTGAATATTTTACTCTAGGGCACTATCCAATGAAGCAGACTCTTATCTCCTTGGGCCTTCAGACTTTGAAGGACCCAACGGGCAGACTTGTGAAACCTTTAACTCAAACTGGCTTGAGACCATTCTGGGCCCCGGCTCTAGGGCCCTGTCCTCTCTCAGACAGACAGCAGTTATCATTCCCTTAAGCCAAAGTTTCTAGGCTCAAAGAACCCCACATTGAACAGGGAGGGTCCCTTTTTTTTTTTAAGTCATCAAGGAAATTTCTCAAAGTTAAGGTCTTGTTCTAGGTGCGGTACGCTGACCGCTTAGCTTACAGCGTCCTGGAAACTGCTGCCTTTCCTTCTCTGGGGTTTGGTTTACGTTCTTTCTGTTCTCTTCCAGCTCTTACATCTAGAAATCTATGATCCAGTGTTCAGGAGAAAAGACCAAGACACATCCCAGGAAGGGTTCTGGTAGAGGAAACAGGGAGAGTCACTTGCTTAGCATGTGCTAAGGCTATAAGGTGGATCCCTTAACCCTCTACAAAGACAGTGGGAAGCTTTGCAGGAGGAAACGGATCTATGAGAACTGGGGTGAGGGATGAGGTTACTCACTTTTTCAACCACTAGACCTGTTATGACTTTCTGTCAGAGAAATGAAAGGCTGTGAGCGCCCCATGACTGACCAACATCCTCACAGCCATATTAAACCACCAGCACCATTGTCACCTCCTAAGACTCCACTAGGATGGGGGCATAGGCTTCTGCCTGAGCCAGTAGCCTCTGGGGTGTGGATTTGAGGGCATATGTTGGAGTAGAGAGTGAGGAGGACTCACACAGGTAGAAAAAGTCCATTGAGTGTCAGAAGCTCACACGTTTAAAATAGCAGTGGCCGGTATGCTTAGAGAACACGCCAGCTCTGTATTTTCAAAAGACTAAAATGCCTAAAAATGGAAATTATGGGAATTTTTTTTTTTTTTTTTTTTTTTTTTTTTTTTTTTTTGAGACAGTGTCTCACTATGTAGCCCTGGCCCGCCTCAACTTGCTATGTAGACCAAACTGGCCTGGAACTCACAGAGACTTGTCTGCCTCTGCCTCCTCACGAGAACGCTGGAATTAAAGGCATGTGCCACCAAACCCTGAGAGTATTCTTTCTTTTTTCCTTCCCTCCATCCCAGGAGACATAAGAAATTAATCCTTCTCCACATCTGTAATCTACCTGACAATTTACCCAGCACCATTCACGTGAGCCCCTGGTTTGAGACTCACAGTAAGCAAAGACAGCAGGTATGTAGTTACCACTTATAGAGCACCTAGCACCACAGAGCTACAGGACAGTAAATACTTGCCCATACTCAGCTAGGAAGAAGCAGGGCTTGTGACACCTGTCCCTTTCTCTGTTCTCCATGACCGCTCCACACAGCACCCTCGGCCATGGCTGAAAATGCATCCTCCCTCTCCATTCCCCAAATGCAGCAAACTCAGGCCCTAAAATCAACTTGCCTCCTCCCATGATAGAAGCCCTTGGTGACCATGCCGTCTTCCCGGCTGATACATGAGAGTGGCCAAGTGTCCAGACCTCCACTCTCAATAAAATAAAGGAAACTTTGCAAGGCTTGCAAGAGAGCTGACAGGAGGAACCCCAGCACCCCTACACTGCACACAGCACCTCATTGGCCTTTTTTTTCTTTTGAAGAGGGCCGTAACTTTACAACTTTGCAGACTACGAAGCAGGACCTTTCCTTTCACAGTGGAAAAGTGGAAAAGGAAGAGGGTAAAGACCCTTACGTCCCTTGTCTGCCGGTTGCACAGTCGGAAACAGCTAAGTTGCAAAGGGAACACTCTTTCCACACTGTGGTCTGACTCCACATCCCTGACCCGTGATAGTTTACCATCTTATTTCTCCACAACCCCAACTGCAGGCTTACAGCCAGGCAAAGGGACCATTTTGTCACCTAACCTGTCTCCAGAGCCCCAAACTGCCCTTCACCTGACAATCACCCTGCTGGGCTACTCCAGCCCAACCCCAGACCCCTAGCACCAGCCAATGTCTGTCTTAAACACACACACACACACACACACACACACACACACAGATACATAGACACACACCCCTCTGTGGTCTCTGTCCTTCTCCTATCACCCTTCCCTCCCTCTTCTCTCCCACAGACACCACCGCATTTTAAAGATGTTTCCACTTTATAAATCACTCTTCTCTGGCAACCACAGAGCTAGGGCGGCTCCCCAAAAACACATGGAGCCAGAGGTGCCTTTCCCTTGACTGAGAAGGTGCTGCCCTGGGATGATTGACTTGGGGTCGCATTGCTCCCTAAAAGTTAGGGCAATTAAAAGAAATAGTTGCACTGGCTATATCTTCAGAGAGATACCAATCAGGTCAAACCAGAAAAGTCCATCAGATCACCAAAGAAAAGAACAAAACAGCCCTGCAGGTGACCTCCTGGCATGACCACCCTGGTTTGCATGTCACCAGCAGTGCTGAGCCTCCCTGAAGTCCACAAAGGTGTAAGCCCCAGTGGATTCCCCTGGACCTGAGAAGTGATGCTGAGCCCTGAGGCTGAGGAGACTCCCACTGGCCCCAGACGGGGAGAGAACCCAGAGTCCTCTCCCTGGGGGATCTCCATCATCTGAAGTTCTCACTCCCACCTGCCACCCTCACCCACGCCAGTCTCCCGGAGCTGACCTGCCCGCCTTGGTGATGATCATCTCGGTGCCAGCCTCGTGGAATTTCTTCCAGAGCTCCTTCTCATGCAGTCCCACTTTGATGTTCTCGATGGTCTGGGGATGGGAGGGAGGGGGACTGGTCTGCCTGGCCCACGGTTGGCTCCACGGGGAGCCTGCTGAGAGTACAGCGCAGACACCACGAAGCATGCAGAACATGTCAGCCCTGAAGCCCACATTTCGAGATTTCGTTTCACAAAATTATTTCGAACTATTGGTGAATTAAAAAATACATATAGAATTGGAGCCTCATACTCTGTGTTTTGGGGGCTTGACCTACAGATGGGCCTATAGAGGACACAGTGACCGTGTCAGAGTGGACCACACTCTTAACACAAACATAAGCACTTCCTAGCCTGGCCTTAGCCATGGCTTGAGGGCAGACACAGGGACACAGAGAGGCACACGCACGCCGGCCTCGCATGCTCAGGCTGCGCGCCGGTGGGAACCCGCAGGATGCAGGTGGCGGTGATGAGCAACGTAGCGCTGTGAAAACCTTCTCGTGACGTTCGTGTGGCCTTCCTGTCCATCCCACCCGCTCCCCGCCTTTCGCCCCTGCCTTCTCGGGGGCCCTCCGACCTGGGCACTGGCTTAGACTCGCTCCCTGAAGCAGGGATCTCCCTCCCCGGCCTGCCGAAGAGCCAGCCCCGAAGGTTCAGAAGTGGAGAACCGATGGGCTGACAGTCGCTGTCCCCTAGGAAGGGAGTCCGGTCCGCGATGACATGAAATGGCAGACAGCCCGACGCCCGGCGGGCCCGGCCCTACCTGCTCCGCGGAGGTGACGTCGGCACCCGGGCCAGGGGGGCTGCTGAGCGTGGCTCCGCTGATACCCGGCGCAGCCAGCGCGGGCTCGGGGGCGTTGGCGGCGTTGGCGGCGTTGGCGGCGCTGGCCTCCCCAAGCGCTGGGCCCGGGGCCCGGAAGGCCTCCTCGCTCTCCGACAGGCCTTTATCCTGCAGCATCTCCTGCGAGCACAGCACAGTCAATCGCCTAGATCCACACTGGCCAGAGGCCCTGCGGCCCTGTGGAGTTGAGCCCCACAGGCTTCAAGCTTCGCGTGGGCGCCCAGGCGCACGTGGACCCCGCCCCCTTCTAAGCTGGCGGAGTGGGCGTGCGGGAGGGCAGGACCCTAGCCTCCTCCCTCCAGGTTCTGGACCTGGGAGGGTCTACGTGCAGTTTAAGGTCTGCCTGCTCCTGGATGTGGGGTTGTATGATGAGTAGGTCTTGAGGAAGGACCGCCTTCTAGGCATGGCCCCAGCTGCACCCAGTGTCCCTCCCTCTTGCTCCAGTAGAGCTCGAGGCCTGGGTCTTTTCGTTCATTCGAGAGTAACTGGGGTCCTGGTCTCGTTGGGGTTTTGTTTTTTGTGTTTTTGTTTTTGTTTTTTGTTTTTTTGGCCCAGGGCACCCAGGACACTCCCAGGTCTGGCAGGAGAGGAGAGCTAGGCCTGGAGGCAGGGCCGAAGCTCCAGCAGCCCCACACCTGCAGAGGGCCCAGACCTGGGGAGCTTTCAGACCTCCGTTCAACCTCTGCCCTCACCCACAGCCTCATATCAGTCCCCACCACTCCAAGTATAGATGCTCTGAACCAAAACCTTCCCATTTCTATTCTTCCCTGAATCACAGCCTCACACAGGACCCTCCTCACCCAAGAAGCACACTCCCTTGTGGACTCCCTCTGATCCAGGCCCTGAACTCTGCCAGGGGCCTCCACAGCCTGTCCTCACATTCTCACAGCCTGGCTCACACACCTACACTTTAGTTCCAAAGGATTCTGCTTTGGGCCAAAAGCCTCAAACCCTTCTTAGCTCGGGACCAGGCCAGTAGGGAGGATCCATTTCCCAGTCACAGCCGGGCCTTGCCTCAGGGTACAGCTCTATTTCCCGAAGTATTAGTGCCTATTCACCGGCCAACCCTTGTGTTTGCTCTGGTCCTGGGGTACAAGGAGGAAAGTCAATTTGCAAGGGCCAGCCTGTCCTGCATCCCTAGGGTGTAGCCAGCCACACACTATTGTTTGATTCCCTTTCCACCACCCACTCTTCCTCCTGGATTTGGCCAAGTAGTACTGGGCTTTCTGTGTCTGCCTTGCCTGTCACTTGGAGAAATGTCTCCTCGTTCTCTTCCCACTCTCTTTCTAGTCTACCCTAGATCTCCTTGGCCATCCCCAGGCGGGGCCCCTTGCCTACCCTGCTCACCGGCCTCTGCAATCTCGGCTTAGACTTCGGCTCCCAGGGCCTCCAAAGTAAACAAGCCAAGTGCAACCGAGGAGATAAAAAGGGGCCGGGGCCAGCCGGGGCTGGGAAAAGCCCATAAAGATAAGGCTGACAGACCAGCGGGTCTCAGCCACAGCCGGCCTGAAACAAGCAAGGCTTGCTGGCTATGGCCGGCCCCAGCACCCTACTTGGGCCACGTGCTGGTTCTGGGCGAGGTTCGAAAACCCAGGATTCCCCAGACTGGGGGACACTGCATCACTGGGGTGTTGCGCGAGGGGTCAAAGCACTGGTTTCCATCCAGGACTGGTGCCCACGAATGGCCTCGGCCATCCAGGTGCGGTGGCTCGCGGGGCCAGGCAGAAGAGGTGCCTACAGCATTGCCAACCTGGCCACCAGGTCCCCACGGACCCCCCCCCCCATCACACACGCTCCAGCCTGCGCCCTGCCGAACCCCCGGGCCTCCCACGACGGGGGGCGTGCCCCCCCGGCCCCCCCCCCCCATCACACGCGGTTCAGCCTGCGCCCTGCTGAACCTCTGGGCCTCCGCTGACGCGGGTCGCGCTGGCGAGCAGTTCCGAAGCAACCTCCTTTCCCTGCTCTGGGTACGCTGATCGCTTTTCTCCAACTCCAACACCCAGCCACATTCTGGCCTCTCTCAAGAAGCTCCCAGCCAAGTTCCCCCTGTTCCACCCCCGTGCTGGTCCCGGAGCTCCAGCACGCACAGATTCTGGCACCGCGAATCCCACTCGCCAACAGCCTCGGCGCCAGGGTCCTTCACGTCCGTCCTGCTGCGGTGGCCCGCAGGCTCCACTCCCGGTGTGCCTGGGTCGGTCTTTTTAGCCACCGCATTTCCCAAGGAGGGTAGCGTTTTCCTTCCATATTTGTTACTAGTGAAATTTTTCTTGTACCGGAGAAATTTTTTAAATATTTTGTAATATTTTAATTATTCTTATCATTGAAGTAGAATTCTGGTCAGTTCAGCAACATTAAGAATATTCTCCCTATTGCCAGAATTATAAATGTTTCTAACACTGTATGGTCAAAGCACGAGTTTATCATTATGAATTACAGTGTTGTTGCTTTTCTGTTACTGTTTTGGCCTTCAGGGTTCCCTGGCACATTAGTAGCACTGTTGCCAGTATCTAGGTAATTAGATACAGTGTTCCAATAGGGCAGGTTAATCTATCATTATTTTATTTTTAAAGGGTATCTCTTAAATATTTTCTCTTCTAGCCCTTCATTCTATCTAGACTTTCACAGTTCCAACAGCTTATTATTGAACATAATTGTAATATTATTGTTCCCAATATTCAGGTTAATTTTCTTCACATCCTTGCAATAGTTCTTGTTATTTGCCATAATTGTTAGGATTATTCATAGAACTCCAGGTATTATTATTCATCGTGTTTTACAATATATTGTTACTTTGTCATTATTTGTAATGGGGCAGATCTTAATTTGTTCAGAATTTTTCAGCACTCCATGACAGCTTGTTACTTTGTCATAATTTGTAATATTGCTGTAGCCTTAATACTCTGATTATTTTTCAGCACGTTGGTATAATACTTATTACTCAGCCATTATTTATAATGCTGACTATTAATACCTTGGTCATAAATTGTCATTACTTCAGCGGTCCTCATTACTGTATCTGTATTTATATTACGATTACTTTTGATATGTTGGTTAATGTTCAATATTCGCTACGATAACAATAATACATCATATGATAGTCTTCCATCATAGTATTTCCTTTAGTATTTTCTTTCCATTGTTAACCTTTTGTCTCATCTGTTTCCTACAGTTGCTCGGTTTGGCAATTTGTTACATCATTACCGTTACTTATATACTATTGGTGTTGATTTGAGGACAAGAGTTGTTTCACTGTTCCTGTATTTAGAACTACTCTGTCTTTAATCCTTTTAACATTGCGATTACTACTTCCGTTAGATTCTGAAGCCCACTATCCTGTTGACATGAAGCCTGAGTAGTCTATCAGTTACAGGCTTCGCGGCTTCTTTGGTAATGGTTCACATTCTGATAGCTCCTGAGCTATCGTTACTTATACAATGGCCATTGATTTTATTTCGACGAGACCATCGTACCAAACATTCGAAGTCGAGGTTTCTGGTCAGTCCCATTTCTGCATCGATTTTCAGTTTTCACCGCCAGTACCCGGGCCCTCTTCTTTGGTTTTCTTACTCTGTAAACACCCATTTCGAGGCCACTGCTCTTGTCAAGACTTAACCTCGTTCCTAGGATGCTGGCTCTTTTTGGACTATGCGGTTGGGTCCCTAGACCCAGTTAATCCCGTTACTCAAGCTCAGCGACCTGGACTAGGTCCTCCCACGGCTTTGCCCACTGAGGTCGTTACCCTAGGCGCCCTATTCGCCCCTTTCTGATTCATCCTCCTGAATCCCGCATCCTCCAGACCCTGAGCTGGGCCGCCCCATCCCCGCATGCCCCGCTCACCCGCACTGGGCTGAAGCCCACACTCACCCTAACTGCACCGCAGCTTGCAGAGATGTCTGCGGCCCCAGGTCCGCAACAGGCTAGGGTCCGAGAGATGCCGGACGGCCGGGCTCCACCTCGGCCTCCGGGTCACGGTCCCGAGGCCCGCCGCGCCCTCGGGGCAGGACGCATCCCGGGTGTGCAGCGGGCCCTTGATCTCCGAGGCTCCACTTTGGGGCCTCGGCTCCCTCCTCCTCGCGGTCCTCCCTCCCTCTCTCCCTCCGGGGCCGCCCCCCTCCGGTGCTGACGTCGCTGCTGTCAATCAGTCCTCGACCGCCACCCCCCGGGGAGGGGGTTCCAGGGTCCTGGGGTGCCTCTGTCGTCCCGGACCCCAAGCCATGATCCGGCCTGGGCTCCTCGGCAGTGCTGCCGGTGTCCTCCCTGCCGCCTGACAGGGGCCTGGAGCCCCGCATGGTTTAGATTAGAGAGGCGGGAAGAGGGGGCGCACGGCCGGGTCGCTGTGCCCAGGTCCCACCTAAGGCTGGCCCTCCAGGATCTCGTGCTGGGGCTCCACGGCTGGGCCTGGTCACTGCCCCGCAGGCACCTCCACCAACCGCACCGGCAGTCCCACCCGTTAGGCCTGCACGCGTGCACTCGGGAGCCCCGTCCCCGGCTCCACTCGGGCACACACGCCGGATATCCACCGTGCCCACCCCAGTGCGCACACCTGCAGGAGAGGCTTGGAGTAGCCGCGGAGTCGCTGACGAGGGCAGGCAGGAGGCGGGTGATGGGCCTGGTGTGGCCTTGCTGGGAAAGTGCTGGGCCGGCTTCAGTCGGGCTCCAGCCCTTGACCAAGCCTCTGCCGGGCTGTAAGCACCAGACGTGGCTGAACCCTCCAGGGAAACTTCAATGGAAGGGCAGCCTTATACTATTAGGTACCCACGATCCAGCCCAAGGCCTGCTCTAGCCTAAGAAACTGAGATGGAGGCGCCTTCTGCTTAAAGATCCCCAGCCAGCCTGGGTGCCTCAGAAAGTGATAGGCCTGCTTAATGGCCTAGACCTCCCTGCCCAGCCTGCCTCCCTCTGGGTCCACTTACCTTTCTCTACATCTACCTTGATCTCCCCACAGCCCCTGAGGTTCCACGGGCACACAGACCCTTGTAGCCCTCAGCCCATACCTAGGCCTCATAGCCTGCCATGTGCCCAGAATCCCGGGGCAAGAATATACCTGTGGATTCATTCCAAAGGTTCCCAAGTCCCCTGTGAAGGAGGAATTAGCCCTCAGTTCTCAGCATGGGCTG